TGTTTTGCATTCTGGTTGACTTTTCTGCATTCCAACCATTTGGTACTTTAACTCTTCTTTCAAATCATTCCAATAGCCTACAAAATCAAGGGAATCTAGTACAAAACCATTAAATTCACCTTTTACTCTCTTATTCACAAAACTAAAGCATAAACATGAGTTAAAGGAAGTTTCTAAGTTAGAAAGGGTGTTTTTAATATCAAAATTAAGTATAAAAATAATGTTTTTTCTACCGTTATCACAACCCCAAACTTGAAACTTTGCTTGTCCTCAAGCAAAATGTAACTTGGCTTAAACAAAATACTCATACTACAATGGTCTAGCACACCAAAAAGCATTTTTCTCTTAGGACAAGTAAATCACTCATGAATGCTCATCATATAAAGATTAGTCAAGATATAATGATGCTTTAATTAGCCAATCAAGCTTTAATTATGGTGCTCACATAATCAAGACATACACAATAGATGCAAACCTCATGAATAATCAACCAACCAAGCAAGAATGTTATCATATAGTGCATGGAACAATTCCTCACCAAAGATAGTGTTTCACTCAAACTTAAAGGTGTATAGTGAGGTGTCACTCTTACACTCTACCATCACAATGTCACATTAATCAACTTTGCCTTTCATTTAACCACATATCAAACACAATCACAAGCAAGTTATCATCACAAGGACTTTTCAAGGCTTGTATGGGCTAAGAAGAAAATTGTTTTTTCTAGACAACAAAATTCCTTGAGTTAAGAGAGTGCACAATTCATTTATTCACATTAACAATAATCTCTCTTTCTCCTTTTATGTGAGAAACCAAATCTTAGACTTATCCCCAACTTTCCTTTCATTGAGCTCAACCTTTTCTTTTCTTTCGTTTCTTCTTTTTTCTTTTTCTTTTGCGTTTTTCTTTTGCTCAATGCTCTTTGATAAATTTCACAAAGTTCTTTCCGGCTTCTCACCACCCCAAACTTCAACCATTCTCCATTACCACAAAACATACTCTACTTAACTCAAGGTAGGATTTCAAAAAGGGTTTTTCCACTTTTCAAATTTAGGCTCAAGGTGCAAAGGTTAGAGAAAACATTGATCCTTATTGGGTTCACCTATAAACATTGGCTCTAACGGAGAAGAAAAACATGGCCTTGATAATTCGTAACAAGCAATCAAGTGGTTCAATCATAGAAAATTAGGGAAAATCAATCATGCTTCCAAAGTAATAGCACTCAATCAATCAAAAACTTTGGAGCCTAATCTCTCACAGGTTAACTCAAGTTCCACAATTTATAAACATCTTGCCCAACATATTAATCACAATTGAAATCATGCATCTGTTTTTAACAATACTATGAGCAACCACCATCTATGCTTAAAAAGCCTCAACAATCATTAACTCAACATGCATCATAGAATAATAGAGCAAACACAAGAATATTACTCATCACAAACAACAGTTTATCACATCATACCAAACCATTGCACACAACTCATTAAACCAAGTACATAAGAAAAAATAAAAATAAAACAAAATTCAAATAAAATAAAGCAAAAACATGAAAATCCTGATCCAACAGCATCCATCAGTAGATGTTGTCAGTAACATCCATCAGTAGATGTCTAGTAGCATAACATCCATAAATAGATGCTCTCAGTAGCATCCACCAGTAGATGCTCTCACATCTGAATCTTCCAGCATCCATTAGTAGATGTGAATCCTTCTCATCAGCATCCATTAGTAGATGCTAATCTTTCTCATCTTCATCGGCATCCATCAGTAGACGCCTTCAGTAGCATCCATCAGTAGACGCTTAATCACATAAAATCCATCAGTAGACGCTATCATTCATCACCCTCATCATAGCAGCATCCATCAGTAGATGTTGTCATTTGAGTCCTCCTAGCATCCCTCAGTATATGGTGTCCAACATCCATTAGTAGATGCTGTAATTCCTGTACAGAAAATTCAAATCCAAAAGAAAAAGTCAGAAATTGGGTTGCCTCCCAATAAGCGCTTTTTTAACTTCATGAGTCTGACACCATTAAGTACAATCTTCATCTATTATGTTGGTGTTTTTTTTGCTTTCATCACACCAACTTATCTGCAACATCTTCTTGTTCACCATCTTTACCCTCCTTGAATAAGGAGCCTCAATCTCAATAACTCCATTCTCTTTGATATTTTTAACCACTTTATGCACAAAACTTGGTGAACATGACACTTGTTCAATGCCCTTAATGGGGCGCCCAAAAGCGTCCTACGACCTTCACTGTCTTTCTTCTCTTGATGATCGTGTACTCGTAGTGCAGATTTTCGAATTTTATCCTGCAAACACTAAAGAACACTACACTAGAGCACCCAATTAGCACAAACAGATAAAAAATTAAAAAGATAAAATGATGAAGAGATAGAAAGACAAAAAGATAAAAAAGATAGAAAGATAGAAAGATAGAAAGATAGAAAGATAAAACGATAAAAAATTAAAAAGAAAACAAAATGAAGAGATAAAAAGATAAAAAGATAAAAAGATAGAATGATAGAAAGATAAATAAAAAATAAAAAATAAAAAAATAAAAAGGTAAAAAGATAAAAAGATAAAAAGAGGAAAATATAAGAATAAAAAGATAAAAAAAATAAAAAGATAAAAGAACTAAAAAGATAGAAAGAGAAAAAGAGAAAAAGATAAAAAGAGAAAAAGAGAAAAGAGAAAACAATAAAAAGATAGAAAGATAAAAAAATAAAAAGACAAAAAAAAAAGATAAAAGTCTAATATGTTAAGTGATAACGGTTGAAAAACTGTTATTTTTATGCTTAAAATTGATACCAAAAGCAACCTTTAAGACTTAGAAACTAGCATGAACTCATATTTTTGCTTTAGTTTTGTGAATAAGAGAGTTGAAAGTGAATTTAATGGTTTTGTGCAAGATTCCCTTGATTTTGTAGGCTAATTGAATGATTTGAAAGAAGAATTGAAGTACCGAATGATTGGAGTGCTGAAAAGTCAACCAGAAACCAGAAAAGTCAACCAGAAACCAGAAAAGTCAACCAGTCAACCAGAAAAGTCAACAGTCAACCAGAATGCAGAAAAAGTGTGACCGAGTGGCGTTGAGCGGCAGTTTTCAGGTGCCAAAATCACCGTTGAGGAGCAAAATAGCAATTGGGGGGCAAAATGGATCATGCGCTAGTACCGCTCAACGGTAAAATAGCGCCATTCTAAATGGGCTTGGACCGGTTTTTTGTTACTTTTATGGGCTTGGCCTAATTTTCTGTATTTTTTAGAATAGTATATAAGCTTTAGGACGTCCTAAGGTTTGTATCTTTGGCTGGGAGGAAGCAGAAACACACTTTTCACCCCTTGGGGGTAGATTGGGAGATGGTGACGGCTCTCCTCTTCTCTTTCTAGGGTTTTTTCTATCTCTTTCATTCTTTCATTATTGTTCATCTAGTTTCACCATGAATATGGTGAACTAAACTTTGTATTGTTGTTGGGCGAAAGCCTTCGGTAATTACCGAAGGGCAGAAGCCCTCGGTAATTTCCGAAGGGCGAAAGCCCTCGGTAAATGTTAGCGACAAGAGATTTACCGAAGGATTTTTGACTGTCGATAAGCCTTCGGTAAACACCCTTTATCGACGGCTTATGGCAGTTTCCGAGGGCTTCTGGTCTTCGGTAATGCCCAACTTTTTTGTAGTGTTTGTTTATTATATATTTGGATTACTTATGTTTTCATTATGTAGTTTATGTTTTGACTATGTTTAGTTTCAATAATTTTTTAAGTTAATTTTGAATTATTTCTTTAGATTAAAAATAATGTATTTAGTGATGTTTGCATATTTTCATGATTGTATCTCTTAATGCATTAAAGCCAACGATCATTCAATATTCTGATTTTTAAACAAATGCAAATTAATTACTTATGATTTTAATGATTTTTATTGATTAATCAAAAAGAAATTAGTGATGGAAAGTTACTTACAGATGACCACTTATAGAAAATTTTATTCATGATGCTCGAGTGGGAAATTACTCATGGATATTAATTCGTCAGTATTACGTATTCCATGTGTATTATCATGAAATGTGATCGGTGAAAAATAAGTCACGGATATTAGTTTGTTGATATTATCCACAGTGATGAAGCCCTGAGAAATTATTCACAAATGGGTTCCGTATGTACGTAATAGAAAATTATCCGAAATGATTGTCTTGTATGTATTAGTCACAAATTTTTGTTTATCAAAGACCAAAAATCTATAAAATATTTACCTACAAATTCTCAGTATCCATAAATAAATACTGATTATCCACAAATTTTAACATTATCTACAAATTTTTGTTATAGATAAATCCAAGATTTTTTTCTTAAAAAATTCAGAAAAAAATTACATAAGAGATAAATTATTGAATAAAAATATACAATCAAAACTAAAATGTTAAGTTTATAATAAAATTCAAACAATATATATTTCCATTCATAAATATTAACAAAAAATAAAAGTAATCGCAAGATAGAAAAATTTACATTAATTAAGCAACTACTCTTATTGGAGTAAAGTTTATAAAATAATATTTAAATCTACTTAACTTTAATATTTAAAGTGATCTTAGACTTCTTCATCTTCTAGAATAAGCAATGAACAAAAAACAAACAACGAACTAAGAAGGCAAATGAAGAATCACATATACGAAGCAAAACTCTTTAAAAGAAGTGCTTTATACTATGTTAACAAACCAAAGCCAGGAAAATGTATTTAACAAAACTCCAAGAATAGAGAAGAAATAAAATTTGTGAAACAAAGAAGAGAAACATGAAATCATGAAGAAAAACAATTTTATTGAATCTGGAAAAGAATACACTCAAAAGAAACCAAAGAGGCATGAATATATAACAAAGGAAAACAGAAAACATGAAAGTATTTGTCATTGTTCATAACATATGACATATCACATATTTAAAATATTGCTTTGGGAAAATATTTATTGCTTCGGTATATATTCTTGTGCTAAATTAAAGGTGATATAATTGTGGTGGTAATCTGGGCTTAGCAACTGCCATAAGTGGCTCTGCAAGATTTAAACCATCATTGGACTCGGCTAGGTTTATTTTTGAAACATTGGATGGGGCAGTCCAAGTGAAGCCATGGAGCAACCTTGCAAATAACATCATGGTCATTGTGGTCCCAAGCGTAACTCCAGGGCAACCACGCCTTCCTGTGCTAAATGATATGAACCTCAAATTTGGCTCTGTCAAAACTACATTGGACCCATTATCACTCTTAAGGTGACGTTCTGGTTTAAACTTGAGGGGTTCATTCCACACTTTTGGGTTTCTTCCAAGTTCTCTTCTACTTAGTATTACATGGCTACCCTTCGGGATGAAGTAATTTCCCACAGTTGTATCACTCATTGAGACATGAGGAACATTAAAAGCTGCCAATGGATGAAGGCGAAAAGCTTCTCTTGCACAGGCCTTTACAAAGTTGAGCTTTGGTATATCTGATTCTTGAACCAACCTCTCTTTTCCCACCACACTGTCCAATTCCTCAATGGCTCGTTGGAGCAAGTTTGGTTGGTTAATCATTTCAGCGAGTGCCCATTCAAAAGCATTTGATGGATTGTCCACAGTTGCAATCAATATTTCCTGCAACCAGATTGAGTATGGATTTCGAATCAGTAATGTATAATACAAGTAAGAAGTATAGAGAAGTGAAATATGATTATGCAAAGGGTTAGGGTTTCCAAAAATCATTTGCTCATGAAAACTCAAAGAGGGAAGAGAAATATTACCACAATTTGTGCACTAATTTCTTCAATTGTCAATAATGGATTGTTGTCGGCATCTTTCAAGGAGATCAAAATGTCAAGCCAGTCCTGTTCATCAATCTTTTTTGCATCATTCCATTGTTTAACTCTTTCTTGAACGATGGGATCATGATATTTCTTCATGACTTTCAAAGCTTCCTTGACCTTCTTCTGGTGTCCATCCAAGTCAAGTCTCCTCAAGCATGGGATAAAATCAGAAATAGAAAAAGCATAAAGATACCTAAGTAAAACGAAGACGGACTCAACTTGTTCTTCCTCCTCAAAAGCAGGTCCTCCATCCATCGTACCCTTCCCAAAATACCTTGTACTGAAAAGAATTTTCCTCATAACGTTGCCACAATAATGCCTTGCAACACTTCTAATGTTCACAAGGCCAGCAACACCGTTGTTCACACTTTTGCTTTTGTTGTAGATGTAAAACATAAGATTGTCAGCTTCTTCAGTCCTTCTGTCCTGGAGCAATAGGTGCTTGTGTGGGGAAAGCAAAGCAGTGGTAAGGATTTTTTTCATTTTCTTCCATTGGTCCCCAAATGGCACTAAAATTGTGGTTAAATATCCGCCAGTAATGAGATCAGTGCAAGTGGTGAGTGATCTTGATGCAAACGTTGCATCCTGTTCACTCAAAAACTGTCTGGCAATGGTGGGACAAGTAACTGGGATAACATAGGTATTTCCTAGGCGGATACATGCAATCTCAGTGTTCATTTCTTTCATGAGATTGTGTATCCATTGATGAACAGGTTTGTTTGCTAGCATGGCAGGAAGGTTGCCCACCACAGGCCATGGTTTGGGACCTGGGGGAAGTTTTGGTTTTTGTTTCTTGGACCATTTCTGAATCCAGCTAGGTATTAGGGCTTTTAGCACAATGATAAAGCATACAAAAAACCAAAGGCTTTGAAGATTTGACAACGAAAGGGAAGGGGAGTGTTCCATGGCTTGGGAAAGGCCCTGTTGTGATGCTAAGTATTTGGAAACTTTTTCAATTAACACTGTAACTTGCTTTTGTGATAGATATCTTGCGAGAAGTTTGATGCCTATCAGTATTTATACAGTATTCAAGCATTTACTTTTCTTTTTATAATCATTTCCTTAAACGCCTTTTCTTTTCTTAATCATGATAACATGCACGTTTACTAAATTTAAGCTCAATTATGTTATATCTTTTGTTTTTTATATTCATAATCTTACTTGCCAGAATTTTGTCGTACTTGTTTTTTAAACGTCGGCACACACTAAACAGCTGTTATTATAACTAATAAAATGTTCTTGAGGCAATGACTTCAAGAAGAACATGGTTGTATTGCATCCTCATCAGAACTATACTTGATACTTTAGATTTTATTACAAAACATTGTCAAACATGAATTCACATTCGTTATCACTCTCCCTAAATTCATATTAGACTCGGGATTACTAATTAAATTCATTTTTCGTCTTTCTCTCGCCTCTAAATAAAATGTATGCCTTTCTGTCAATATATTGTACTTTTATAAACTAAAATTTTACTTCAATAAACTACTAAAATAGGATATCAATAATATGAAGCGCGTGATCACGGATTGCATTTAGATAAGGATACTAATAGAAATAAAGAATTTACTAATATAAAATTATCGAGTGATTAAAATTCGTTGATAACATGTAATTATCAAGGAAAATTAGTAACATATATTGACATATCGGTTGGTAATATTTGTTGATAAGGTTGAAATAGTTGTTTATTGATAAATTGTTGTTCAGAGATTGGTGTCGTCAGTAATCGTGTGACAAAATTAAATCAAATTTCGATACATGTCTTTTTCTATTGTGTATTGTAGTCTAAATTTTATCTTTGCATGCTATTTACTAATTACTTTTCCATTCTTGTTGTCTTAGATTCTTGTCTAGTCATTTCACTTTGTATATGTGCATAAAATTCCTAAAACTAGTCTTAAATTTTTACACTTTGTATATGTCAAAAATAAAATTAAACTGCATAAGTCTGTTTCTTCTTATCTTGAGTTCTAGTTTTGTTGTTAGTTCACTAGTGTTGAAAATAGAATGGCTTAGTTTTCAACACCAAGAGGGGGGTGAATTGGTGAAATACAAAACCAATGATTTCTTTAAATCTTTTTTGCAAAGTAGATGCCTTTAAAAGCTTTCTTGAAACGCAAGGAAAAAGACTTTGTAGTGCAGCAGAATATAGTCGAATACGTGAAAAATAAAGTTGACTGAATATAACAGAGTAGGGATAGAAAAATCAAACATTGGGTTTTTATACTGGTTCGGCCAAGCCTACATCTAATGTCCTTCCACCTTCCACCACAGGAAGCAAATTCACTATAATGATGAAGGTTTTTACAACAAGGCTTTTATAGCGACCTCCACGTCAAAAATATAAAACACCTCTCTAACCCTCTAATCAAAATATAGGCATACAACACACAAAGACCAGCAGCAAGATGTCCCCTCTCCTGCCGTTTTCAACCCTTTGAGAAACCCCTCAAAGTCAAGAACGTAACACGCTCTTCTTCCTGTAATCACAACAGGGAATCAACCCAATCTTTAGTAGATTATCAACTCTGATCTTTCAGTAAACACCTCTCTGTGCAAATTTGATCAGCTCTTTCAAAGCACAACAATCTTGCTCTTCAAGAAATCACAAGAGATGATCACCATGGTCTTCTTCTTTGATTCTTGGAGCTTTTCCACGTTCTGTAAGATAGCACTAATCTATAATGAATATGAAAATGTTAGAATTCACAAAAGTTCTTAGAGATTTCAAATTCGCGTCTATTTGTAGCTTTTCACAATACTGACGCTCTCAAGTCGACTTAGCTACTAATGCAGTCGAATACCACAATTCAGTAAAACCAGTTAGCAGCAATAAATGTAGTTAATTGAATGTACAATTAATGCATTCGAATCACAATAAATGCTTGGTCAATATACTTAAAAATATAGTCGTTGTAACATTTAATTCAAGCATTAACAGAATTTCAAAAAGAGGACGCGTTCTGCGAGAGAGAATTGGTGAGAAATGAAGATGTGTTGATGTTGTATGCGAGACAAAAGAGGACGCGTGGCTGCTGAAGGATAGGCAGTTTGGAAGCTGATGTGAGGTGGCAGCGAAGAATGGTAACGTGAGAGAAATAAGGTGGAGCACGGTGAAATTCAAGGAAAAATGAAAATGGAAGTAGTGTGCAAGGAAGGTGGCTAAAGGGAGTCTTTGGACTCTCTAACCTGACTTTCAAGAGAGAATTGTTTCTATTTCAGAAAACTTAATTCTCATTAATCTCAAAAGTAACAATACAATAAAGGAGCTGGGTATTTATAGTAACCCATGCTCCTTAAGAGCTAAACTATAAAAGATAAAAATACAAAAGGAGGACTACATCAAGTACGATTCCATCATACCCTCCCTCTTAAAAAAGATTTGTCCTCAAATCTGGCAATCGTCTTATGAAGAAGCTCTACACAATCTTTGGGAGCATGGCCATCTTAGAATGGCCTTATTCTTTTAGATCTAGTTTTCTTCCTCCTGAATCAAACATGAATCTGCAATACACATCAAATATATCTTCGGTTAATATCAATCCAAGAAAGAATTTTTCTTTAAATAGATCTAGTTTTCTTCCTCCTTGATGTAGTCCTCCTTTTGTATTTTTATCTTTTATAGTTTAGCTCTTAAGGAGCATGGGTTACTATAAATACCCAGCTCCTCTATTGTATTGTTACTTTTGAGATTAATGAGAATTAAGTTTTCTGAAATAGAAACAACTCTCTCTTGAAAGTCAGGTTAGAGAGTCCAAAGACTCCCTCTAGCCACCTTCCTTGCACACTGCCTCCATTTTCATTTTCCTTGAATTCCACCGTGCTCCACCTTATTTCTCTCACGTTACCATTCTTCGCTGCCACCTCACATCAGCTTCCAAACTGCCTATCCTTCAGCAGCCACACGTCCTCTTTTGTCTCGCATACAACATCAACACATCTTCATTTCTCACCAATTCTCTCTCGCAGAACGCGTCCATTTCTCTCTCGAGAGCTCATCCTCGCGAGCCTTCTACTTTCATCACAGTAAGCTTCTACATATACATTTTCTTCTCAGATCTGCATTTTCACTCTCCGCATCTCCTGACCACATCTAAACCTAGGGTTTCTTCATCATCTTGTCTTTTTCTGCCATTCTCACCATTTGTTTTCGATTTCCACCGACTAAACCCTGCTTTGCTCCGATCAAACCCTTTTCCACCGTTCAATCTTGAGTTCGAATCGATTAATCGTTTCATTTTGAGTTTTCCCTCTTTTCTAGGGTTCGTTCATGATTTTAGGGTTTTTTGCAATTGATTTCGTTTCTCTCAGTTTCCTTTGAGTCAGCTCTCGATTTAGAGCTTCCTCTCCATTCCGCTGCATCTTCACTCGTCGGAGAAGCTTCGAGGAGTCCGAATCGTGCTCGCACAGTTTCTATCATCATCTCCTCGGGCGTTCGTCCATCACTGTAACAGACTTAGTCAAATGCAGGTTGCATGTAATCGACTATACAACACAGTTAAACAAAGTTTTGAAAAACTTTCTCTTCAAAAATTCTTACATCACACTTTTAAAATGTTTGTGCAAAGCCACGAGTTTTAATCGACTTACTTCATAATGAAGTCGAGTTAAAACTGTTGTTTTGCCACACATTATAAGTTGAACAAAAGTGCTTGTAGTTTTCCTTTTCTAAAACATATGTCATGCATTCACAGATATAAGATCTCATGTAAAACACAATGAATTGCAACAATGACAGAATCAACACAAACATGTTCTCAAATAATTATAAACATGAAAGTTATGAACATGTAACACATAAACATCACATGTGTTATTAATTATGTGTTGTCATCATAAAAAACCAGAACCTCTGAGATTGTAGGTTTAGCTAAACCAGTGTCCCTTATAAAAAATCTCAACAACTAGAAAAACTCCAAAAACATATTCTTTGTTGACACTATAGAAATTATTGAAATTATCCACTAGTGCCATAAAAGAAAACGATAGCGGTTGACGAATCGGGTTATATACAGGCGAGGCAAAAAGGGGTAGGCTCTTTGTCTTAGTTATAAACCGAGCCAAAAAAGGGTAGACTTTTGCCTCGACTCAAATGCAACCGAGGCAGTAGAGGGTATTTAATATATTTTTTTATTTATTTTGTTTTTTTTCTTCAGACTTTGTTGTTTTTTTATTTTTTATTTGGTTCAAGAAGATGTCATCAGCCCTCTCAGTAGTAAATGGATCCGATGATACTCTTTGAAGAACTTCAACTATAGAGTTATGAACATGTAGATGTTCTAGCCGGGACATCACTCCCTCTTATTCATCCTCACTTCATGGAATAGATTCCAAATATTCTAAGCATGACACAACCCCAAGATCAAACATGATTGTTGTTGATACCCACAAAATAACACAAGTAAAAGTAAGAACACAAGAAACAAATTGCAGTCAAGAAACAAGAACAAAAATAATTTACAAAACAATGAACATCAACCTGAGCAAGCTCAAAACTTTAGGAACTTCATCGCTCATGCAACGTAACATGGCCTTGAAATCCTCGCAGTACATCAAAACAACAACTTCCACATACACTTCCACGTTGTCGTAGTCGCTGATCTCCATTGAGTGCGACACCGCATCGTTGCAGGGAAGCTTCTCCCGAAGAATCGGCTCTTCTTGGTCAAGATGCTCTTTCAGACCTCCATCGACACCATCAGGTCGTCCTGCGCGACCACTATGAGCCGAATGTGAGCCCCGCCGAACAAAGTGGGCTCCTATAGGAGCTTGGAGAGCCGATCTCGTGCCCTTGTCGTCCCATTCTTGACTTCTCTCACTCTATTCTTCCACCAACTTTCTTACTTTCTAACTATCGAAAAGTGGGTTCCAATTTTACATTTCTGAATTTTAACTATCGA